TGGGCACGAACTGAACTGTTAAACCAGGTTAGTGATTAACGTGCATAATCATCCTCTGTCATGTTATGGTCACTAACCTGCATTTCTCTCCTGCAGAGGTTCTTGCCTTAGACCCCCTAGCAACTGCATATCTTCAGCCATTTTAAAAAATAAACGCTATTTGAATAATCCCACTGGCTGTCTTTCCTTAGATACTTCTAGTCTTCTTAAATATTTCTGTCAGAGCTTCCATTCTAAGCCCTGACAGAAGTAGTCACTTTTTCTGCTTCTTTTTGCAAGAGTGGTTTAGCAGAAGAAAGTAATGGTGAAGCTTAAAAGAAAATGTTATTGCTAAACTCCTGAGTTTATACAACGCAAACTCTTTATGCATACAGATAAACATAATTATGTTCCTGTTGTGGATACAGCAGATAAATACATATGACACAGGATCCCATTTTGAGTCATATGTTTTCTCAACTGATTATTACCCCTTTATCATTCAACTTTTTTTTAATTAAAAGTCTTGTCATTTTTGCTTAGGGCCCATTCACTGCAGCACAAACCAGGGTTCAGCACTGCTTTTTGTCCTTTAGTTGCTCAAACCTCTTTTTGTAGGCAGGGTACAGAGACTCATTAGCTTTCATAGAGGGTCTGCCACAGATATTCTCAGTGACCAAATATTTTGATTTTTGTTTTTCACTCTACATATATACGTCAGTATTTTTGTTCAGATATAATAATAAAACAATATCATTAGAACTCATAAAGTAGGGCTATCATTTAAACATTATTTTAGCAAAATCCTATTGAACTACTGTATATCTAACTGTACACCAAGGGTTAATGGAACATAAGGAAGAAAAACACTTAGGAGCAGAGCAGACAGATGGGTCTAGAAAGGAGGTGACAAAAGAAAAGGGTATTTAAGCTGCAGCAGTGATTTTTTGATGAGGATCAGCTGGTTGATGCCTACAGCCTTTAGCTTTGGAAAAAAAAAAGAAGAAGCTAAGGTCAAACCGAGGACATCTGAATAGAGAATAACTCCAACAGGATTAAATGAACTTGAAAACTATCTAACCAGGATCTTCTAAATGAAAATAAAATTAAACCCTGGACACCAAAAGAAAACAAAAAACCGAAATGACCAGACCATGAAAAATATATGGTTTTTAAAAAGGTGTCAATATAAGGATCTGAAAGGGGCATTTGAACCCTGCTGTGGTACCCCTAAACAAAAAATAATGTGAAAAATACTGTCAGTGCTTCCTAGATGAGCAAATATAATCTAATTGCGTTTGGTCTGATCTCAGTAAACATCCGGTTGTTTGTTTCTGTGATGTTTCTTGGGTAATGGTCAAACAAGCTCAAGTGTTTCTTATTGAGAAAGTAGATTTATAAAACGGTATGAATACTGTTTAAATGAGGACTAACTCTTTTTTGTGAATTTTGTCTTTTCCCAAAGTTTTTTCTTTTTTTATCTGAGCCAAAACAAAATAGCTTGAATTTATTACTGCTTCAGCCTGATGAAATGCTGATCTACAGATATAGATGACCTTATACATTAGTGAATTTGGCTATTTCCTTGAATGAAATGGAATCAGACTTGAAAAGTAACATAGATGTCTTCCAATTTTTTTCTGTTTGTTGTGACACCTCATTTTCTTAATCATCGACTTCAATAACAGATAGAGATAAGCAAAGTAAGCATAACAATCATTTTTAAACATCGATTTTATTAACTGTATTAAGGTGGAAAACCTGTCTAAAAGAAGATGGCTGCATGTGAAATAGGGCCTGAACAACTATTTCCATTTGATAATCTAAAAAAATTCAATTGTTTAAAAAAATAGAATTAAACACATGATCAAAACACATCTTAGTGAATGCAAAGAAAAAATAAAACATGAACATTTTCTCTTCTAATTTCCTGTTTCAGTCTTTGTAGCATTGAGTCCTGTAAAATAAATTGGTTAATATAAATTGGCTCCTTTAACCCTCCAAATTAAGCAGCTAGACCCATATAAACGGTACCAAAAAATTACCTCCATGCTTGCCTTACTTCACAAGCTAATTCAAAAATTCCAGAACCTGCTTTTAGAGCTTTAACTGACCTTGTCTGTAACATCATGGTCATCAATATAGTGCACACCCTGTTGCTCTTTAAATCCACAGAAAGCACCCTGTTAACACTACCAAGGTCACAGTTTGTTAAAGAAAGGATGTTTGGGCCTTCTTCATATCAGCAATGCTTCATGGAGCGCTCTCTTCCTGCTAAACTCAAACACATCACATCTCTCAAAACTAAAAACCTTGAAATTCAGCGTTTGGTGAAAGCATTTGGCAAAGTTAGGCATTAATGTCGTGACAATCCCTCTAGTCTGACATTTGTAAAGGAAACAGCTCTACAAATGACTACTGTAATGTGTTATATGAATACTGGAGAATTAAGTCAACTTCAATGACTTCATGATGTTGTTGGAAATATGCCATCTAAGACTGAATAATTAGACATTTCTGTCGTCAACAGCTCATTGAGCTTAGTTGTGAAATGCTCAACGCACCATTTGATAAAACACCCAGTTGACATGTAAGAGCTTAATTTGTTCATCATACTGGACAAATCAGGGGCATGCCAGCTTCAATCACTGTCACTAGCTCTGAGGTTGTTCTCCTCTACTGTAGGTCATTAGACATCATGGAAAATGATAGGAACAGCATTTAAGCACTGAGTTCAGAATATTGTGAGATTCTACAGATCCTGCGGCACTGCCAAACACCTCTGCCACCTGCACTTTGATTTCTATTTATCTTCTGTCTATCTGGTGTAATGCTTGACAGCTGGGTCTTTTTTTTCTTTTTCCTGTTTGCATCTAAAACAGACCAGAAAGTGGGTGCAGAGACATGGTAATTTCATTCCCAATACTTTTCCTGTCAACATTTATTTAAAGTGCCGAGCAATTCCAATGCACTCAGGGTGCAAAGTAAGATTCACTCTCCCAACCAGCTTTTATCCAATTTCAGTGCAGAGGTAGAAAGCCTCTTTAAGGGAGGAAATTATAATAATGCAGCACTGCGTCCCACTGAGACCAGCTGAGGAGACTACTGCTACTGCCATCCGACTGATAGTAATATACTAGTTTTTTTCTCCCGGCTTTTGCTGACATTAACAAGATACGCCTTTCAAATATCATGGCCTTTGGGACTGGGTCAGAGTAACTATTTATAGAAGGTCAAGACTTTATGATAGTGTGCTCGCCAGAGTGATAACTGAGAATAGAGTTGGTCTTAGTTGCTTTGCTGCAGCTAATTTAGTGTCAGCCGTTGCTCTGGGCTTTTGAATGTGATCTAAACACACACCGCATTGGTCAGTGACTACTTACAGTACCATTGCATTGTTTAGTGATACAGTAGTAAGCATGTGTGCGTGACAGAGCCAGTGCAGCAGTGAAACCTTATCCGCTGTTTAAAATTTGGAATTATACTGCCATTTAATGCAGTAACTTGAATGTCATATCTTATAATGTCATAGCAAGTTTGAATTGCTTTACTTTCCCCAGAGTATTTATTAATGATAGCCCAAAACATTTTTCGTCGACAATATCATGTTTAATCTTTAGAGAGAAGTTCATTAAAACATGAAAAACAATAACCTCTTTTTCTATGGAAAGACATGAAATATAAACTTTAATGAGATCAAAACACAGAAAATTCAAAATAAAAATAAAAATTTATGAAACCAGAGAAATGATATAACACCAGTAAATATCAGCTTAGGAGGAAATAACTTGCAGGGAATTGCCTCCAAATATTGTGCTGATATTTTATGCAAAAAAAAAAAGGACATGATAGTGTTAAAAAAAGTTGAGATTTAAGATTTTAAGGTGTGACAATCATTTGGCAGTAACACTAACTGATTTTAAATACAGCTGCAAGTTGTTTGGGTCTTTCTCCACCAGCTTTAGCGCCTTAGAAACTACTTGTTTTATCTGATATTTTTTTCTTTTCAGGAGTACTCAAGCTAAGTCAAACAGCTTCTCTGAACAGTTTTTATAATTTTTTCTAATTAAATTTAAACTGGACTTTGATTGTTCCATTCTAACAGATTAAAATGCTTTCATCTAAATCATCATCTGGCTGGGTGTTTACAGCTTTCTGCTGCCAAACAATCATTTTTCCCCAGGATTCCCACGACATGACCCTGCTAACATCAAATATCTGTTAGAGAGTAGTTTGTTCATCTCAATTTGCATTGTTTCTTTTTCCATCATTCCTTTGTGTTTTGCATGTTGGTTAAAAGGATTTCCTTTGGGTTCATAGTTGTCCTGTAAACAAATTTTCTTAGCCGTTCAACTCTTCCAAAATTAGATAAGGTTAAACGGCAACATTCAGATGGTAGATTGATCAGTTCTCTGCAAACTTCTTTATAACCTGATCTTTCTACCAGCCATCCCATAACTTATCCCTTTTGTTGTGTTCATACTGATATTTTATTCAGAGGTACCTTTGCAATGGAGGCTCAATACAAGTAAGCTTAACTTTTTTTTAGATTTGTATGTAAAAACCTAAAAAAACTATTACTTTACTCCTTTCACTTCACAATACATTGTTCTTTCACAAAACATATGACATATATGTTTTTAGTTGTCCTATGGATAATCCTTCAGTTTAATACTATATCTGTTAAGTTCAATATTTATTAAAAAATTTCACTTTACAATGATTCCTGTAAATGATTGTATCATGTTGTGGGATGTTCTGTCCTTCTGCCAGGGACACATCATCCCTCCTAAATAGACCCCTCCTTAGATATTCATGAGACTGGAGTGATGTCCTCTGCCTCAGCATGTTCTCCGAACACTTTATGCAATGCACATAGGCCGCTCCACCCTCTGCTTAATATTAATAACCATGTCTTTAAAAAGCTTGTCCTGAGCCTGAGGTGTTGGGTGCTTCTCTAGCTGTGTCTCTGAGCTTTTTCTTTTACATCCCTACCCGCCTCAGGGAATTGAGCTGCCAACATGTCCAAGCCTCTGTCCGACCATGATAGGAAGAAACAGATTTCAGTGAGGGGCCTTGCTGGCGTTGAGAACGTCACAGATCTGAAGCTGAACTTCAACAGACATCTTCACTTCACGCTAGTTAAGGACAGGAATGTGGCCACCAAACGGGATTACTACTTTGCTCTTGCCCACACGGTGCGAGACCACTTGGTGGGCAGGTGGATCAGAACCCAGCAGCACTACTATGAAAAAGACCCCAAAGTAAGTTACACTCAGTACAGCAGCAAATGCAATCTTATAAACCTGTATAAAATGAACCATTAGTGAAAGACTACAAAAACAAGTATGGTTTTATAAAGATTATCGAAATAATAGTAATAAAATAGGGAAAAAACATAAGAATGCCTAAAGTTTTATAATAACTTACAATTAATTTAGATTTCATAGGTTTTCTCTATAAGAATGATGTCACAGAGGGGATCCAAATGGGAGAAAATCCATCCCCAGAACCCCGGCTCCCCCACCCTCCTTCCCCACCATATTACCCCATTATAGCCACTTTATCAATGCCTGGTACCTCTTTTACATTTTGATAAAAATACTGAAATCCTGCAATAGACTTTGGGTCAGCTGTGCTGCCCCCAACACTAAAATATCACATCATATATTACAGCTTGATTATCATTACCTATTACTTTAAAGCGTAAAGCACTAGAACAATACATATGAGCTGTTTTTACTCAGTTTTCAAAAATTATTGATTTCATGCCCAAAATGGGGAATCGTTTGCATTGGTATTGAACAATATGTGCACATTCCATTGACAACGAAGTAAAAAACTTAAATTTTTATGTTGATGATTTCCACATTAAGCATTGTTTTCCCAATTACCATCTTTGCATTTGCTCAGAAATTAACGTAACTGTAATACTCCTTGCATAATCATAATAAAGCTATTTATATGCGTAAATCAAGCGGAATGCTATCGCGATAGCCGTACTGCTTCACTTGTGAAAGCAAAATCTGTTGGGCCCTTTTTTGGCATCTGGACAATTATTCTTAATGGCAATGCCACATCGACGACAGGACACTGTAAAAAAAAATTAACATAACTAAGTGAATAACTTGGACCCCCCCAAAAAATCTGATATACTACTCCTAATATACAGCTCTGTGTGGACCATTCCCTGGAGAGAAGGAACTAAAGAAGGTTTATCATCCGTAACAGCCTGTACTAGCAGCTAAAATATCCCTATGTTGTATACTGTAGGACACATCTACTTCTAACAAAATGCCAATACTTAATTAAACTAAAATAAATTGTCATGGCATGCTTAGGATATAGACACTGTGTGATAACTGAGCCTAGAACTATAGGGCTGAAGCACTAGAACTGCACACTGTCACAAACAGCAACTGTTAGCACTGTATCCTGCTTTAATAATTATGTTAATTTCAAGCTGTCAGATATTGTTGCACATTTTCTTTCTTGATGCTTTGCCAGGTAGTGATAACATAGTATTCGTAATATAAGTATTATATTTCCATTGTAGAATATTTAATCATTGAAACTTTAATATTTTGTCACCAAAAGTCAGTTTAGGCATCATTGCAAGCTGCCATACAAAACAGGGCCAAACCGAAACACTTGCCCCTGCAAAGACTATTGGTGTATTTCTGAATACAGTAATAAACTGATTGAACTTTGGTGTCTTGTACTCAAGATAAATTGACTGTACTCTCTCTTTGACATCAGAACAGTTTTAACATACTGATGCCAGTATATGCCAGCCATGACATTTAGACTTCAGCAGGGTAGGGTGGGGGTTCTTAGCACTCTGCCGGTCTGCTCCCATTGCTTACAGTGTGTTGAAACACTAAACCCACCCATGACCTTCTGTTCCTGTCCCGTCTGACCGCCAACACGTACTCTTCCTCCTCCTCTTCGCTCAGGTCGTCTGAGCATGTGTGCTCCAAGGACATCCGGAGCTCTCTAGTTGAAACGCAGTTACATTAAAGCTTTATGTCAACAGCCTTCGAGTCATTAAGCAGCTGCTACAGCCAGGAACCTTAGAGAAACAATAAGGCGCTGCTTCACTTGAATGAAACAATAAAACTGCAAGCACCACCACATTTACTCTTAAAAAATGTCAGCCAGAAAAGTGTGTTATTACAGGCAAAGAGATGAGAAAGGGGTGAAAGTCAGCTCCATCCCTTTTTCTTTGTCTGAGAATATCTATGGAGGCTCATTAATAAACTTACTGAATAAAGGAGAAAGAGCCCCCATTGCTCCTGTAACATCTGCTGAAGCACTGCTTTCAAAGAACCTCCTAGTGATTGTATGAAAACGTTTGCTCAGAGGTCAGTCGGGTGCAACAGCTCAATACGAAGCATGGTGACACACTGGGGTTCATCTTTAAAAGGTCAAAGGTGAATACCATGCTGGTTTAACTGGAAAGCACAAACAGGAAGGTCATCCAGGCTAAAAAAGGTGCAGACCCTGTGATCTATTCTCTGACACCGATTGCATTTCTTTCTTGGAGAAAGCGAGGAGGAATTCATAAATCAAAAACAACTTGGGACATACTGGTATATGTAATCAAATTAGTCCAGTGCACTGATCAAGAAAGAGCCCCTCTCAGTTTCCTTTGCTGTCCTTTAAATACATTTTTGAAGCAGTCTCTCTGTCTTCCTGTACTTAAACTCCACAATCAAAGATTATCAGTTTCTGGCTGACCTTTACAGCGACCTCTTTGGGAGCTATTTTTTGCCCAGCCCAAAATGTTGGACGTTATGTAATACCCAAAGCAATCTGTTCCCTTAGTCCCCCCCTCTCTCCCCGCACCCTTCCCTGGTCCTCTTCCTTCCCTCCTCTGCCTGTGTGTGCCCTTCCATGTCAGAGTCAAAGAAAAAAACTAACATAATCTAAATGGCAAAGGCTAAACACCGGCTCAGGTGGCACATTTATATACGCTCCCAACCATGAAACTAAATCATGAAACCTGAAGTTTTTTCTAAGGGTGGGGTGGGTGTTATTTTGACATTTGGCATATGAATTCAAAGGTCCATGGTTTCAATGCCAAACACAGTGGGCACGTGGGGGGGTGGGGGTCCTGTTATATTTCGCTGTCATATATGTGCATTCCCTCAAGTGAATACTTTTTGAGCTCCAAACCTCTAAATGTCCAATTGAATCATTTGTATTTTGTATAAAAGTTAAGCTTATTTACTTTCCTTTTTGTCCAATCTGCAGCGTGTGTACTACATCTCCCTGGAGTTCTACATGGGCCGCACACTCCAAAATACCATGGTCAACCTTGCACTGGAGAACGCCTGTGATGAGGCCATGTACCAGGTGAGATAAAGGAGATTTAGTTTACTCCTCCTCAAATTGTCTTTCCAAATATTTTACAAAGGAGCAGCTCTCCTAAAATCCCTGTACCTTGTAGATGGGTCTGGACATGGAGGAGTTAGAGGAGATGGAGGAAGATGCTGGACTGGGTAATGGAGGCCTGGGTCGTCTTGCTGGTAGGTCTTTTCTTTTTAGTTTTGCACTTTGTACAAGAAAAAGAATTATGAGTCTCACATGAGTCTCACATGTTCTGTCTGTTGTTTAGCCTGTTTCCTGGACTCAATGGCATCACTGGGTCTGGCTGCATATGGTTATGGCATTCGTTATGAATTCGGCATCTTCAACCAAAAAATCCTCAATGGATGGCAGGTAGAGAGAAGATCAAACTTTGGGTTTATTTCCTGTACAAATGTTCACTCATACAGTACATTATATAACTTCTATGTAACATTCTCTGAAAGTACATCTAGATAATTAAAAATGTCAATTTGCACAACATAAGGCTGTACACATTTGAAATAATGGGAAGTTTAGTAGAACTAAAGTAAAAATCTAAAAAGGTGAAAAATTATTTGGGCTTTTTTATTCAGTGTACTCTATTCTGAAACCCTAAATAAAAAATATGTGCTGCATTTTGAAGTCACCTACTGTTACCCTTCCCCTTAGATTCAGAATCTGCTATTTTCTGTCACATTTTTGCACTAAAACAATTCATCTGAGTTTGGTACCACATGGTTTTATATAAGGGCAATAGAGCACCAAGCTTAAGATGAAGAGATTGTTATCTTACAGCATGAGGGAGAATTCATTGACAGGGCATCAGTTTATCATGCCCTGCACCAAAATGGACATACTGTAACAGACCACCATTTACAGTTTGTCTTAAACCATACAGGCAATATCTCAAGAATGTTTAACAACAGCCTTTGGGTAGAAGAAAATGTGACTTTTGATTATTAATGGCTTGAGCTAAACATGGGCTCATCTAGCTGGAGCCTGTAGCTTACTATCTAATAAAAACCCAAACATAGAGCAACAGCCACATAAAAAAGTTTTGTAATTGGAGTTGCTTTATCTCATATAATCAACATAAAATTTGGCTATTGTAACATCTGGAAATATTATGAGAAGAGGGATACATAATTTCATAAGACCCTACAATTAATGGTAAATTCTTCTGTTTTACTATGGATCCCCTGGAGGATAAATTTTCTCTGTTATGAAAATGTTCTCTGTGTTTGGCCTACATCAGAAACCTAATTTCGAATTAAGTCCAATGAATGTTTGCCACCTCTCAGGTGGAGGAGGCCGATGACTGGCTGCGCTATGGCAACCCCTGGGAGAAAGCTCGACCAGAGTACACTCGCCCGGTTCACTTTTATGGCAGAACTGAGCATCACCCCGATGGCGTCAAATGGGTGGACACTCAGGTGAAAATATTAACTGAAGTAAAAAAGATCAAAGATTATTCAGGTTATGCAGATGTCATTAAACTTTGCTGTCTTTTCATTCACTGATAGGTAGTCCTGGCTCTGCCGTATGACACGCCTGTGCCTGGCTACAGAAACAACGTTGTGAACACCATGAGGCTATGGTCTGCTAAAGCTCCTTGCGATTTCAACCTTAAAGACTGTAGGTGTTTGACTTTGATGACACGTTTTAAACACCAGATCTTACTTAAACTAATGCGTTCATGTTTTATTTTATCTTACAGTCAATGTTGGTGGCTACATTCAAGCGGTTTTGGACAGGAACTTGGCTGAGAACATTTCTCGTGTGCTTTACCCCAACGACAATGTAAGAAACACTATATTATACTTTGATGCATTAAAACTAGACCCACTATTGACAGTCATGTGAAAAATGTGGACTACTTATCTAGATCTGGGGTTTTTTCTAACACATTTGAGTATATGGATATTCAATATACTCAGATATTCAATACATAATGTAGTGAAGCTGAATTATGGTCCGATAAAAATGTGAAGATCTATGATTAGAGCCAGAAATGAAACAGAGCTATTCAATTCCTGGCATAAAGATGCTACACAATATTTGTTAATATTTATCATTGTCATTGTTATTTATTTTACACAATCAGATCTCTCAATAAAATGATGAAGTTCATATTCACTGAATGCCTTGAATAAAAAAAATCGAAATAATAAAACGAACAAAAGAAAAAATCCCTTCAGCCTGTCTTATTTTGTGACAGTGAAATTAGATAAATGTTATGTTGTAATCCTTTAACAGAGAAACAAAATATTGCTGATTTGTGAGTAAAGGAAAAATAATTTCAATTATATTTCAATTTAGAAATATTTTCCAAATGAAAATTGGAATTTCATCCTGACTTTATTTTAGCCTCCAGTGCGTCTAACTGGCTGCAGAGACCGTTTAATCACCAGAATAGATCCACCTGTACTGTATGTCATTTAATCCTGGTCCTAATCCTCATCTGAAGGCCTCAGAGAATATTAATAAATAAATAAATAGCATCATGAAGGCCATGGAACACAGCAGACAGATTAGGGAAGTTTTGGATAGATTGATGGATATGTGTGTGGGTGGAGCATTGTTAAAAGATACTTTTAACTAACTTAAATATAACACAGCTCATTGCACAACAGTTGCAAAAGAACCTGTGCAAATTTTCACTTTATTCATGGCTGTGGTAATCATATCAAAACACAATTTTAACTGAATGAAATTCCTGATTTAATCAATAAAAATAACTTTTGAGATCTGTCCTCAGAACAAAAATGTGTTCTTTTTGTTCAGTTCTTTGAAGGAAAGGAGCTCCGTCTGAAGCAGGAATACTTCGTGGTGTCTGCCACCCTGCAAGACATCATCCGTCGTTTCAAGGTCTCCAAGTTTGGCTCGAGGGAGATCGCTCGCACTGACTTCAGCAAACTGCCTGACAAGGTGAAGTGGGAAAACTTGACAGAATTACCTCTGTCAGACGTCTTTTATGGAAGAATTTCTGTCAATGTGTTAAGCAGGTTGTAGGTGTGTTTACTGATCCTTTAGAATTATACTTGACATAAAAAAGAAGCTTTGATAGTTTCATGTTAGTTATTTGGGTTTAAGTATATTTAATAGAGAAATTATTATCTGCTCATGCAGGTTGCAATCCAACTAAATGACACCCACCCTGCAATGGCTATTCCTGAGCTGATGAGAGTTCTTGTTGATGAGGAGAAGCTGGCTTGGGAACAGGTAAATTGGGAAAATGTACTATTTTTATTTGCTTCATTTTTTAGAACTTTGTAAGTATTTTTTCTCCACAGGTACAAATCAGTGACTGAAATATCATCAAAATTATTTTTGATTTTATTTATTCTATATAACATGTGAAGATGAGACACGTGGTGATGTATTGTTTATCTTTATTTATGTTGATAACGGCTTTCAGTTTTGATTAAAGTAGTGTTTTTTTTATTATATTACATAAGACTACATTTAAACACATACTGTACATTATTACCATATCTAATCATTGGGAAGACTGCAGATTTTACATTTGCCTTCCTCAAGCAGGTTAAGCTGCAAAGAGGCAATTCCTAAAGAAGTATTTGTCTAATAGTAGGTAGCAACTGTGCACAAGCAACAGGCATAACTGCAGCTTCGACAGGGATTGGGAAACAAAGCCCCCTGAAGAATTAGCCAGAGATTTATGTTGTCTGGATTAAGCTAGAAACTAGTACTTTATGAGCCTCCATTCAAGGTCAGTTAAGGATGAGGGCTAGAACTACTGAATCTCTTGTTATGCCACTCCTGAAAGATCAACATCAGAAGAGGCTTGCCGGTGCTCAGGAGCAAAGGATCTAAATAGTTCTTAGATAAAACGACAGCATTTTATTTGCTTAGGCTCCTCTGTGAGATTTTCACAGTCAGTGAAGACTTAGGGAGCCATCATCTACAGATGTTTGTCCACTTATAGAAACAAAAGATATGTTTCCTTCTTACTGTCCCCACGTGGGGCTCAAGAGGATTGATTACTGCAAAGCCCTTGACTCACAAAGATTTTAAGGTCCTCTTTACATGAATGACTTCAGATCAGTGGTGTCTAAACTTTTTACTACAAGGGCCCAAATCCTCAAATTGACTTCATTGTTTGTGGGACTTTTTTTGTTTTGCTTTTTTTTTTTTACTGAACACCCCAGATAATTTGTGAATTTCTTTTGCCAGGTAAAATACATCTGGGACATTTACAAAAATAATTGTAACTGCAAAAAAAAATACATTAAACTATTTTTATTTTCTCAGGGAAAAATAGTCACTCTTCTTAAATTTGTTATGTTTAGTCAAGTTTAATCACTTGATTAGTCGCAGATATGGTAACATCTTTGCTTGAAAAAGGGGTCTCCACCTGCATAAAGTTACTGCAGATGAGCCTAACTATTCTAGTTACTGCAGATGAGCCTAACTATTCTATTCTTAATTCAAATTCAACCCCCCCATTATTATTTCAAGAACCTCAAATGGCCCCTTATCCACATTTTAGACACATCTGCTTTAAACCAGTGAGCTTCCTAAACTGAATAGGATTGTTTTGCCTTACATGTGGGATCAGATCAGCCTTTGTTATTTAATCTAATCTCATATCACTGAAGTCTACTGGTATAAATGTTAATAAGTTATTAGTCAGTTTGTATTGTACTGTTCACCAATGATTACATTTAATATACATTAGTGCAATAGCTAAGTATTGATTGTAAACATTAAAAAGTATACAGATATAATTTTTCAGCTTACTCATATTTTGGCACTGAAAATTATTTTTATTTTTATATGATACTGTAGGAGCCAATAATTTTTTGTTAATGATGAAAAATGTCTTTTGTTTTTGTGCATAATTTAGCTAAGTTATTTAATTTATTGTTTAATATCTGTTATGAGATTATGTTTTTTGGATATTTAGTTATGTTCCTTTATTTTTTGGTTAGTTATGATTAATTTAGGTTAATTATTTTTTATAAATAGGCAGTCAATGGTATGACCAGCATGCATCTGGGTGGGCGTATGTTTTTTTTTTTTTTTTTTTTTTTTACCAGCGCAATAGAAACATGGAGGAAATGTTTTTTTTGTTTGCTTGCCTGAGGAAAAAATAAACTGACAAAGCTAAGAGAGTTTACCTGGAACATTTTTCCTTTTTTTTTATTTTCTTTTATTTCCCTGTGTAAAATAAGTCCATGGTGCATCTGTGGCCTTTGTGGACTTCCACTATTTTGTGTCATCAAAGCAGGGCCACAACAGATACTACAACGTTGGTTCTTATTTAGAGACATGGTCATCTTGCCTTTAATTTAATTACTGAATAGAATTATCATTTTGATGATACTACAATGTGAATCAATGCAATAAAACTGTGCAGTATTTTGATATGATGAAAATAATTAATGAAGAAACAGGGATGCATGAAAAAGTAAAGTAATTGTTTTCTGTTGGTGCTTCTGAGGCCTGGGATATTTGTGTGAGGACCTGTGCCTACACCAACCACACAGTCCTTCCAGAAGCTCTGGAGCGCTGGCCAGTAGACCTGTTTGCCCACCTGCTGCCCCGTCACCTGGAAATAGTCTATGAGATCAACCGTCGCCACCTGGAGGTTGGTACTGCAAACTGCAACATCTATTCAGACACAACAAGGATTTGCATCCAAAAATATATTTGCCAACAAAGCTTGAGAAAACACTCTGTGATTAAATAGAACTATTATTTGTCTTTACATAGTCCATTTAGCCTTGGATTAGGATATTGAAATGAAAATAAATATGTTAATCTCATAACAAGAATAAAAAGAGAATTTATACAACACTAAAAGCAGAGGAACTGTCATTAAGTAATTTATGTTTTTATCAAAGAGACTTCTCAAAAATAGGGTACATTCAACCACTGATATACCGGAATATTAAAGCCTTAAAAATAAAATGATGAGTTTTATTTTCAACATCTGTAAGAAGAAAACTCCTACAGCCCCGGTGAAACAAGACAAAAATGTTTCTGACATAAAGTGGTGGGCAGAGCTGCACAATAAAAAAGAAAAAGAAAATGCTTTCATCTGAAGGCTTTCATCTACTCACACTGATGAAAATGGTCCTGATGCTGGTAACTTGTATTGTGAATTCACCGTGTGACCTTTTGTGTATGGACAAAGACCAGCTTTGATGTAGCAGGAAGAAATTGTTATATGATTCTTTTAGTAATCAGGAATTCCTTTTGATTTTTGTAGAAAGTTGCTGCCAAGTTTCCAGGAGACCATGATCGTCTTCGCCGGATGTCGCTGATTGAGGAGGGTGGGCAGAAGAGGATTAACATGGCCCATTTGTGCATCGTTGGTGCTCACGCTGTCAACGGTGTAGCCCAGATCCACTCTGATATCCTGAAAGCTACGATGTAAGTAAAACAAAATTTTTTTTTAATTAGTATTTAATTACTACCCCATAATTAAGTAAAAAGTCACTGTTTTATGTTTTGGGGTTTTATGTAATGGAGCAGCAAAAAGCAGAGAAAACGTGATGGATGAATGATTTAAATAATTTAAGAAGGATCGGAAATTTTGTTTACCTCATTCACACCTTCTTGTCTGTGGCAGCATCATGCTATGGACAAGCATATCTTCAATAGGTACACTGAAACTGTATTAATTTTATGTACAATTGAAGGGAGGTGAATGTTTTGCAATAATGTAATAAAACCTGTTAAAGGCACACAGAAAGAAGGTGGATAATTGCAAAAAAAAAAAGAATATTTAACTAGAATAGTTTTAGTGGGATTTAAAGCATTTCTTTTTTTCAAGGAATTTGAGACAGAGAGGCAGCAGCAGCTAAAATACCAAAAGATTCACAATAAATAAAACAGAATTGTTTAGAAAAAAAATCTATAAAAACATCTAATTGTGAGAATCTGCCAAAGCTGAGCTTTTTGGCAAAAAAAATATGAGAAACAGACCTCAAGGAGTATGAATGCTTTATCAAGACATTGTATATGTAATAGTTATATTTAGATCATCAATGTCAAACAGCTTTAAATTTCCTCTATGTGTTTAATGATATGAGATGATTTCTTTACCCTCCAGCTTTAAGGACTTCTATGAAATGGAGCCCCACAAGTTCCAAAATAAGACGAACGGCATCACCCCTCGCCGCTGGCTGGTCATGTGCAATCCCGGGCTGGCTGAGGTCATTGCAGAGGTCAGCTGCGCTCGGACGGCATAAACAAAACCAAGCGAAAATTTAGGTCATCTGTCAGAATCCACCACATTAAAGTGTGTGCTGACTTGTTGTCTCTTTATTGCTCATCAGAGAATTGGGGAAGACTTCATTCGTGATCTTGACCAACTGAAACGTCTCCGGGACTTTGTGAACGATGATGCATTTATTCGGGATATCGCCAAAGTGAAACAGGTGAATGGTGGATAATTTGGCCTTAAGTATTTGTTGCTCTGTGATCCATGCATAGTATTCAATAAATCCTCAGCAGCTCAGTGCACATCTACAGTTTTTGCCTATTCTTTTTAAAATAGCTCAAGCTCAGTCAGCTTAGATGGAAACAAATGGTGAACACACTTTTTCCAGTCTTGCCAAAGGCTCTCAAATTGATTTTGGTTGGAACTGACTATAATGTATATATGCTATCATATAAACATTTCCGTTGGCTCTACATTTATTTATTTTCCTGCTTTCTTATCTCTGCAGTCTGTTGCAACCCCTAAGATATTTTCTCCAGGTCTGATTTGCCTCTGCCTATCAGCGCCAATCAGCTTCCTTTTGTGCAGAAATAACACCTTTGTCTCCAGGTTTTCTGCTTTTATGTATGGCTGAATGGAAACTGCAAACAGGAGTTCTTAGCATTTCTTTTCAGCAGTAGCTGTCTTATATTTGGAGTTCATAATTTATTGTAATGATGTTTACACCTGAGCTGTTAGTCTCTGTAAATCCTTGAGAATTACCATGTAGCTCTTGGCTGCTCCTATTTTTATCATTTTCCAATAAAATGATCATGTTCTATGTTCATCTATCACATAAAAATGATACTCATAGAAATATTTGATAGTAGCCAGTTAACACTAAAGCCATTTTTTTCAAAATCGCAACCGGCTTTTCAAATACAGATATGATTCCCAGGCATTCCAAAGCCCCGTTTGGATATCTCTTTTCTATGCATAACAGGCGTGTCCCAGTTTCATTACTTCTATCTGTGTAATTAAAAAGCAATTATGATGAATATGCCCTTGGCCCATAGCCCACCCAGAATTTGACAGCCAGCAGTCAGTGCAGAAAGGTGACATGAGGTTTTATTAGTTTTCGTTGGCATTTTGCCCATGTTTGCGTTCTGTATATTGTTTGTCTCCTGTAATTGCTCCAACTGCATTTGCATAGTGAATCTGTTTACAATGGCCAAATGATGGCAGATGCTGAACAATATTTTGTCTTGTGAAATGTTTTGATCCTGTAGGAGAACAAGCTGAAGTTCGCTGTGCATTTGGAGGAGCACTACAAGGTGAAGATCAATCCCAACTCCATGTTTGACGTCCAAGTCAAGAGAATCCATGAATACAAGAGACAGCTGCTGAACTGTCTCCACATCATCACCTACTACAACCGTGAGTGCATGTTTAAGACCGCCTGCCTCCATATCTACTCTATTTTGCAGAAGCATTCACACTATTTTGATCCCTTACCCTCCTTTTTTTCTTTACGTTATTTGGCCATGTAACTATTTCTATCTGAGTCCCAGGATTAGGTTTATTAGTAATTTCTTTCTACTTTAGATTGTGTTTAAGCCAAGTTTGTTTTGCTTTTATTCCTTTCAGGCATCAAGAAAGAGCCAAACAAGCAGTGGACTCCAAGGACCATAATGATTGGAGGAAAGGTTTGTATTTATAAAGAAAAGGATAGACTATACTTTATATATATATTTAACTGAGTTCAACCTGCAGGCCGCTCCTGGATACCACACAGCCAAGATGATCATCCGTCTGGTCACAGCTATCGGGGAGGTGGTCAACCACGATCCAGTGGTTGGAGATCGCCTGAAGGTCATCTTCTTGGAGAACTATAGAGTCACACTGGCAGAGAAAGGTAGGAAACTAATTAATGCTGAGATTGAAGAACCAATATAAAATATCTATACCTGTAATTAACCTTCTTCTTTTGCTATCTTGCAGCCATCCCAGCATCAGACCTGTCAGAACAAATCTCTACAGCCGGCACTGAAGCCTCCGGGACTGGCAACATGAAGTTCATGCTTAACGGAGCCCTGACCATTGGCACCATGGACGGAGCTAATGTTGAGATGGCAGAAGAAGCTGGTGACGGCAATCTCTTCATCTTTGGCATGAGAGTGGAAGACGTTGATGCACTTGACAAGAAAGGGTAAAGAATAAACTCTCTTCATGTGTATTCAAGAAGACAGTAAAGCCTTTTATTGGTAAAGAAATATTTCCTTAAGGAATCAGCCACGGCCACAGAGAGAGAACTGATAGGTCCATCCTCTTCTTTTACTTGTGCCATCAGTATCATTATCAGATCCATTTTGGGGAAATACCTCAGAGAGAGGCCAACTGTCAAGACCTTTTAAAATCACTGCAGTGAACTCCACACACTCTGACAGTCCTGCTGCTCTGAGCTTTTCCACTAGTTTTAATAATAATCTTTTCTTTTCTCTTTGCTCATTGGTGCTCAAAGACATTTGTGGTCTCACATGATGAGGGTCTTTTGCAATAAAAGGTGGAACTGTGGGGAACGTAACATTCTTTTGTATCTGTACTGATGAAAGTGTTGGTTACCACACAGATAAGCCTGTGCTTTTGTAAATGTTTTATTTTTTTCCATCCTGCTTAGATACCATGCTGAGGAATATTACAACCGGCTGCCGGAGCTAAAGCAGGCCATTGACCAAATCGCTAATGGCTACTTTAGCCCAAAACAGCCAGACCTGTTTAAAGAAATAGTCAACATGCTGATGCATCATGACAGGTACAGAAAAACGGAATTATTTAATCTATCTATCTATCTATCTATCTATCTATCTATCTATCTATCTATCTATCTATCTGTCTGTCTGTCTGTCTGTCTGTCTGTCTGTCTGTCTGTCTGTCTGTCTGTCTGTCTGTCTGTCTGTCTGTCTGTCTGTCTGTCTGTCTGTCTGTCTGTCTGTCTGTCTTGTTTCTGTTAATGTGTACAAAAATCTGCAGTAGATATTGATGCTTACAAAGAGTCCTTGATGGGGGATATATGGGGCAGTAGAGTCAAACGGGCTTGCTAGAACTTGAAAATTTTACAAAAAAATGTAAAAATGTGAAATTAGACATAATTCTCAATGTCATTGTACATTTTCTTTTGTTTACTTGAGAGAAATCAGCCATAGAAATTTCGTTTTACTTATATAAGCGCTTGTGCCTTTGCTGCCACAGTAGTACCTTGGACAAAGAGCCATATCATCCAGGTCCAAAAAAAACCCACTTTATATCTTTTTCTAATTATTATTCATAATGAGAATTTATTTAAACCTTCAGATTTTTTATATCTTCTATGTATTTATGACTTTATTTTGTTTTCTCAGGTTCAAGGTCTTTGCTGATTATGAAGACTACATCAAATGCCAGGAGAAAGTCAATGCTCTGTACAAGGTATACACAAAAGAAAATAACATTATTATCAACTTAACCTAGTTATTAAATCAGTTATAATAGAGGAACACTAAAGTGACCAAGTCTTTTCCAATTTTGCTTTACTTCTTCTTATTTGTCATAATATTAGAACCCCAAGGAATGGACCAAGAAGGTGATCTACAACATTGCTGGATGTGGCAAGTTCTCCAGTGATCGCACCATTGCCCAGTATGCTCGTGAGATCTGGGGCATGGAGCCCACGCTTGAGAAACTGCCTGCCCCTGATGATAAGCAATAAACTCTTCATGAAAGCCAACACATATACAGCTTCTCACCCTGGCTGTGATACCTTATGAAACTGAAATTGTTGGATCTATAATGTCAGGCAAGAAGCCCCCACAAGCTTGCATCCACAGCAAATTAAAGCCTTGGAGAGTTTACATTTCTTCTTACCTCCATATTATCAATCCAGATTAGATGCTGATGAAGGAAAACTCTTGCATTTTGATTTGGAGATGTAGGAGTTGGTGTGTATGATATAAAGTGGATTGGAAAAGCTTTGTGGTGGGCTTTGTATATTTTATGCAGATTTTTTTTTATTAATAAAATAGTTCCTGTTGTATATCTACTTGGACTCATTCTAAATAAAATTTGTCTTAAAGAATTGACTATCTGTTAATTTACTTACACCAAATTATTGTGGTGGGGCTATGGTGGGCCTATGTATTTAAGACACTTTTAAAGTCCCAAATCTAACTTTAATTTCGCTTAAATCCAATGTCACAAGGAATGGAAGAAAAAATATATTAAGCAATCAAAGGAAGAGGGAGGATTTCTTAAAGCCTATTGAGAACCAGAAAATCATTTTTTTTTTTAACTTTTTTATCCCAAATATCTATGACCAAGCATAGTATTTTTTCTATATATAGATAACAAACACATAAGAACAATTTATTTTTACTTTTATAGCCACCTAAATATTACATGGTGAGGGTGAAGCTGCAGTTAATTATAAAGATTAAGTAGTAGGCTGACTGCAATATCTGACTTGGCCACTAGATGACACTATACTCTACATATTGCTTCTTTAAAACCTATTGTTTCAGAAAAAAGGTTAAACGAAACTACAGGTGCTGGTCATAAAATTAGAATATCATGAAAAAGTAGATTGATTTCAGTAATTCCATTTAAAAAGTGAAACTTGTATATTATATTCATACATTACATACAAACTCATATATTTCAGATGTTTATTTTGTTTAATTTTGATGATTACAAATGACAACAAATGAAAATCTCAAATTCATCATATCAGAAAATTAGAATATTGTGAAAAGGTTCAAAATTGATGGTCCCTGGTGCCACACTCTAATCAGCTAATTAACTCAAACCACCTGCAAAAGCCTTTAAATGGTCTTTCAGTCTAGTTCTATAGGCTACACAATCATGGGGAAGACTGCTGACTTGACAGTTGTCCAAAAGACGACCATCGACACCTTGCACAAGGAGGGCAAGACACAAAAGGTCATCGCTAAAGAGGCTGGCTGTTCACAGAGCTCAGTGTCCAAGCACATTAATAGAGAGGCGAAGGGAAGGAAAAGATGTGGTCGAAAAAAGTGTACAAGCAAGAGAGATAACCGCACCCTGGAGAGGATTGTGAAACAAAACCCCTTCAAAAATGTGGGGGAGATTCACAAAGAGTGGACTGCAGCTGGAGTGAGTGCTTCAAGAACCACCACACACAGACGTATGAAAGACATGGGTTTCTGCTGTCGCATTCCTTGTGTCAAGCCACTCTTGAACCACAGACAGCGTCAGAAGCGTCTAAAGAGAAACAGGACTGGACTGCTGGTGAGTGGTCCAAAGTCATGTTCTCTGATGAAAGTAAATTTTGCATTTCCTTTGGAAATCAAGGTCCCAGAGTCTGGAGGAAAAGAAGAGAGGCACTTCATCCACGTTGCTTGAAGTCCAGTGTAAAGTTTCCACAGTCAGTGATGGTTTGGGGTGCCATGTCATCTGCTGGTGTTGGTCCATTGTGTTTTCTGAGGTCCAGGGTCAACGCAGCCACATACCAGGAAGTTTTAGAGCACTTCATGCTTCCTGCAGCTGACCAACTTTTTGGAGATGCAGATTTCATTTTCCAACAGGACTTGGCACCTGCACACAGTGCCAAAGCTACCAGTACCTGGTTGAAGGACCATGGTATCCCTGTTCTTAATTGGCCAGCAAACTCTCCTGACCTTAACCCCATACAAAATCTATGGGGTATTGTGAAGAAGAAGATGCAATACACCAGACCCAACAATTCAGAAGAGCTAAAAGCCACTATTAGAGCAACCTGGGCTATCATAACACCTGAGCAGTGCCACTGACTGATCGACTCCATGCCACGCCGCATTGCTGCAGTAATACAGGCCAAAGGAGGCCCAACTAAATACTGAGTGCTGTACATGCTCATACTTTTCATGTTCATACTTTTCAGTTGGCCAACATTTCTATAAATCCTTTGTTTTTATTGGTCTTCAGTAATATTCTAATTTTCTGATATGATGAATTTGAGATTTTCATTTGTTGTCATTTGTAATCATCAAAATTAAACAAAATAAACATCTGAAATATATGAGTTTGTATGTAATGTATGAATATAATATACAAGTTTCACTTTTTAAATGGAATTACTGAAATCAATCTACTTTTTCATGATATTCTAATTTTATGACCAGCACCTGTACCATTAAGGATTTCTTATGTTTGGCATTTATTTCATACCAAACACTTTCAGATCCTCAGACATTTAAAAAATGTTTTATTTTATAAGTAATTAAATAAACTATAAAAAAGACTTATTTTTCAAATATTAATATTATTTATCTTTAGTTATTAAATAAAGCTATCCTAATTAAACATGTATGAAAATCAGCCTGTTGGTGGTTCCACCAACCATAGAAAGTTGTCCAGGTCCTTAAACTACAACCTTCATGTGTTCTGATGGGTATTAAATAATTTCCAGAAAATGTTTTCTTCATTTTTGGATTATGGCTGCCTGTCACCATTCTTTTTCTTGTTTATAAGACTGACAAGGTACGTACTTTTACGTACTTTTTTCTTTCGCTTGTATAGTGATTTATTTTTCAAGATCTACCAGCCTGTTTTATGTTGTCATAATGTTTAGACAATTTCTTAAAAATAATTCTGATGGTAATCAGGGCTCAATGAGGCTAGGGAACCTGATAGCTTTAAAAATAGCATTATTATAGAATAGTAGGACAGTTAGTTTGTAAGTGTTTACAATAAAGTTTATTTGCATGTGTAGTATGTTGGAGTTAGGCATTAAGTTGTCAGTTTCATTATTATATGATCACAGAGTGCTGAATGCATCTCCGCCTCACATCTCTCATTTCTCTGGCTTGTTAGGAAGAAAGGAGAAACCTCTGACCTCAGAGCCAAGTGTGGTTATGGATAGGCTGAAGAAAAGCAAGACAGTCACTTTATGCTTGATATATTTTAAAGTGTAAGAAAGATCCTGTGTGAAGAACCATGAAGACATGAGTTGACGGCTTTGGCATTGCCTAAATTAATTCATGGTCAAGGAAAGATTACTATTTCAACTTTGGCCAGTTTCATTTGGTTTGCTTTTGTCTCTTGAAAATAAAACACTAATTTGAAAGCTGATTTTCAGTTTTTACTCCACACTTACAGAAATAATTCACAAAAATGCTAAGATTTTGTAATTTTATTGCATAAAAAAAATCCCATTTCCCTTTTTTAAATAATTTTAACAAAAACCTATCACTAAACCTTACATGATCCTTATTCATATGTAAAATACAGTTTATTTATTTAAATTACGAAATCATCAGGTGTATGAATTTAGTATTGTAAAAAGTATAAAGTATACTTACTGTGTGTTTTTAGTTCAACTAAATACACCCATTAATAATAGATATTTTAATTAAATACGCCTATTTAAATCAATGAATATGCATTATTGTAAGGTTTATTTAATAGGTTTTTCTGAAAGAAAAAAAAAGAAGTAAATGGGAATTTGTTATGTAATAAAATTACACAATTCTTCATTTTGGGGTGAAATATTACTGTGATTGCAGTTTAGTAAACTCGAGTGTGTTTCATGATCTGATGCGTTAAATTTAACAACAATGGAAAACAAGACACCTGTACATGGCAATTCTTTATCTACTATTTTACAAAGTACATTTTAACAGCTACTTCCCCTTATTCATTTATTTTTTTTTTTTTAGATATTACTAATGTCATTAGGAAGATCCCATAATGTGCCCTAGTTTAACTTCAACCAAGCATAGAATCACAAAGGTGCTCTTAAAATAAATATTGCGCTTGCCAAAGCAGTCAGGATGAGAATGAGTTCATGAAGGACAGTTCCGGACAAAACCCCAACATGTACCCATTGCAAAATAAATAAATAAAAGGACATTATGTGCCACAGTTAAATAGGGCATCACAGAGAGAGGAATCTGGGTTTCTGATAAGGCTGTTACCCATTGCAATCCTCTGTATCAACATTTGCACGAGACCCAGTTTATAAAGGAGACAGGACTTTGGCACTGTTTGTCAGGGCAGCACTACAGCGACGGATGCAGCAAGAGGCAGTTAATCTTAACGCTAGCTGTTATCACAAGCTCCTACTGATAATATTTTCTCTGGTGCAGCAAATGTACTCAGCAACTTAAATAAAAAGCCACAAATCACAACATCAGCATAAAAAGCAGCTCTGCTAAGATAACCTACTCTGTCGTGTCAAACACGATATGTGACTTGTCGTTGCATTTATTCAATAAATCCAATAGTATGGTAATGAAGTCATGATATGGACTACACACTGGGTCTTAAATTCAAATACATCTAATTTGACACTATATATTAAATAGCAATTGGATTTAGAGTGGAGCCTTTCTTTCTAACCACCACAGTAGCTCTTTTAGAACATGTATCTACTGGGTTTGCACATTAGATCATACTCAGACTTGTTTAGCAAATAGAATAGAATAGAATAGAATAGAATAGAATAGAATAGAATAGAATAGAATAGAATAGAATAGAATAGAATAGAATTGAATTGAAAAGAATAAGATTTTGTTGCCCAAAGGCTGAGAAATTGGGGTGCTTTCAGCAGTCAAGAGAAAAATACAGCAACATAACCTGATCAAATAAAAGATGCAGCAACAGATATAAATAAAACAGCAATAGAAGAAAAATTTGAAAATAACATCAGACAGTTATTCAAACTATTAAGTCTTTTCAGGGTATTTCACTGAAATACATAGCTCCCCAGCTTCATGCTCCTTGCATGGGGTCAGAGACCTTTTACCATGCGAAGTTGTTTTTGCAAAAGTTTTTTCATCTCCAACCACCTGATCTGGGTCAAAGGGGCATCCTAAAACAGAGCTGGCCTTCCCCATTAGCTTATCCAACTGCCTCCTCTCAGCGGTAGATAAGATACTGTTGCTCTAACATACAAATCTATGGAAGATTGCTGATGCTACTACACAGCCAAAGAAGGTCTAAAACAACACCTTTTGGACTGTTAACAATCTTAATTCCTATTTACAGAAGGGGTCGGCTTTGACTCCTGTAAAGAGTATCAGTG